ATTGATAGAAGCAAAACTTTTTATAAGAATCTGCTAAAGGTTGATTTGTTTTATGTAAGTTGAGAATTACATTCAAAATTACCAAATTTATACTGTCTGAAATACTAATTCTGGGGCAGTAGTTCTTAACTATTTGAAGGACGGACCCCTGTGAGGGTATGAGGGGAGCTGTGATAAGCCCTCCACGAAGAAAAACACACGTCTACTAAGACTTCACATGTATCAAGAGGCTCATAAAGCCTCTCTCAATCCTCTAGGGATTCACGCACCGTGGTTAGGAAACCCTGTGTAGGGGAACAGCTTACTTAACTTAAAATTTTACATGTAAATATTTCACTAGAGGTAAGAATAAACAAGTTAAAATTAAGGCAAACTGCCTTTTCCCCTCCACAGTTATTTAGCAATATTTTTAAGGCCAAAGACAAGTTGAAAGAACAATACAATGACCACCTCTATACTCTTCACCTACATTCACCAATTTACACTGTTTTCTCTATTCATTTTATCTCTTTCTCCCTCCCACGTCCATGTCCATACACACGTAAGAATTTGCAAGGGACAGGCTGCACCATCCGAATGCAAGCTGTGGATGTCTTAAGACTGTCGCCCAGAACCAGAGGAGGAAACTCTGAGAACACAGATAGCTCCTGATGTGACCATGGGGCAACGATCACAATCACTCACATCAGCAAACCCAGGACTGTCTCACCACAGCCCATACTCAGAGTTTCCCACTGTCCAACCATGCCCTCAGGGGCCGTGTGTGTGACCCAGAGTTTAACACGCGGACCCTCCAGTCTCCTGTGCGTGACCTACGACGGTAACCCCTGCCCAGAGCAGTCTCGGCCCTTCGCTGTTCTGAAGGGTCCCAGCCAGCTCTCTTGTAAAATGTCCCCTGTTTGCGTTTGTCTGATTGGACGTAGATAAAACATGTCTGACAGGAATCCCACACAGGTGATGTTGGGCAGGCCCATTACTGGTGATTCTGAGACATTTGGTTGAGGTGGTACCATCTTTCCCTGGTAATTAGAAACAGTCTGTAAGGTAAGACTTTGGGTCTGTGTGAATATTGCCATCCAGTGACCCTCCATATAGTGGTCTGGGCTTCCACTGACTATCTTTGCCTAAATCAATTAGCACACTGGAGACGTCCCAGCAGGTGACTGTCGGGCTCTGGCTCCTTCTGTCCTGATCAGCCGGCATTCTTCTGTAGGAAAAGCGCTGTCCCACGGACTCTCTTTTCCCTGTTATTGTAATAACATTTTCATTTGACATGCAATAATCCATGGCTACCCCTGTGCTCTGTAAGGTGCTCACGCGGTCTCTTCACGCTGGCTTCCACACTCTGTCCACATGTCCGCGGGAAACTCTGTGCACTCTGATGCTGGCTGGTATGAGATGTTTCAGGCACATCTTATGCCTTCCCTGGCCCCAACCTGTTACTCTTCATTTCTCCTAGGAGCCTTGGTCCTTCTAGTGGGAAATGGTCCTTAGAAACACAGATGTGGAAGTCAGACGCAGGAGCATTCAGGTCTTCTCAGTGGAAAGAGCTAGAAAGTTTATTTGAAGCAAAACTATTACTTGTGCCCTTTCCTCAAAGCAAACTGACTTTTGAGACATTGTTTAAAAGATCTGACACCCACACAATATTATAAGCTTATTGCAATAAGTCCTTCAATATCCATAAATTCAACTCAATTCATTTTAAATGACAATTCATGTCATTAACTCATTTTCAGAGCAAACTGTCCAACGGCCTGAGGGCACAGGGGGTAGGGGAGGGAGGGCAGCCGGGAACCAGGGACCAGGAGCCCGCAGGAAGAAGGCTGCTGCCACCAGGTCAGCCAATGGCTGGAACTGCCCAGGACGTCAGGGCCAGCTTTGTCAGACTGGTTTTTTAAGATATGCTATAAATTTGGACTTTGACATAAAATTTCCTGTTTTTTAAAAAGACCATATGCTCCAAACAAAACACATCTGCAGGCTGAATACTGTGCACACGTCATGACCTGCAGTGTAAGTAATTAATCCTAAACCAGAGAGCCCTGTCCTTCCTGAGCGTATCCCCTAGGCAACCTCCGGTTACACAGGAAGAGCATACAGTTTACATCCTCAGGTTTGATGGCCCAGAACCTTCCCAAAATCATACTTGCAAGGCCAGCCCCCTCACAACCCTCAGGGCTTCTCCCACAGCTCTTTGCTGCTTTTCCTCACAGCACTTAACACCGTTTTGTGGAATGAGCGATCGACCACACGATCCCTCGTAGCGACTGCGAGATGCTATACGATCCACTCCACTGCACCCAGAAGCCAGGCGCAGAAGGCACAGAAGTGCCAGAAGCCTCTGGACAGACATCACACAACTCAGCCTCCTGGTGATTCCAGAGCTTTGAAAGGCATCTCTTGAGGCCACAGACACCCTCCTCTCCACCTACTTCATTCCTAATTTGTAGGAGATGATTCCCAAGGGCCTTTCCAGTTCTCCTTTGTTCGGACCAAAATCGCTGCTCCCCATTTCCACACCAGGAGAAGGTCAGGAAGGAGTCTGAGAAATTATATGCAAGGGTGCCTGGTGGTGCAGTCAGTTGGGTGTCGGACTCTTTGTTTTGGCTCAGGTCATGGTCCCAGGGTCCTGGGATTGAGCCCCGCGTCGGGCTCCCTGCTCCGCGGGAAGCCTGCTTCTCCCTCTCCCACTCCCCCTGCTTATGTTCCCTCTCTCGCTGTCTCTCTATCAAATAATAAAATCCTAAAAAAAAAAAAATTCTCCAGTTCATAGAGCAAAGCCTAACGAGGGAAAAACAAAACAATAAAGATAACAAACAAATGTGTAGGAAAAAACCGGGTCCCATCCATAGGATGCCTACAGGAACCAAAACTGGAAGATCTCCTGAGGACGCTTTAGGGAAGAGGAGGCATACGGCTGTGTCTGGATGACACAGCACGGATGTGGAGAAAACCTGCAGCGTCTTTCCCGGAGGCACGTATGCATGTAGGCCTTCTCCGCAGGGCTGGG